GACAAAAATTATGGAAAATATTTTTCAAATCAACTCATTTTTCTCAAAATTAAGGAAAATGACTTCTCTTTAAAAATTAAGAAAACATTTTCCAAAACTATCCTCCAATTTCAAATTACATTTTTTTTTTGAGAAAAACATCCATTTTAAAAAAATATTTTTAATTTCAAAATTTTATTTTTTCACCTGATCCCTGACCCCACCCTCACCGGCCAGCCCCCCCCCCCACACCTCCCCAAAGAATTAACCCTACGCCCCGGCCCACCCCACCCCATCCCCCCAAAATAATAATTTTGATTTTAAAAAATATTTTCAATTTTATAATTTATTTTTTACTCTAATAAAAATAAAAGATGTCTCTCAAAAACATTTTTCATTCATAAATCAAACACCTAAAATCATTTTCGGAAAATATTTTCTAGTCACCAACTAAACATGAAAAAATAAGTCCAAAATCTACTTGTGTTTTCCTATTTCTAGGAAAACATTTTCTATGAAAAACATTTTCACGTGTTCATGCAACTCAATTTCTTTTACAATATAATATTCTCTACATTTTAAAAAGAGTAATTTAGTTTGATTGTCATAAAATTATAAGAAAAATAAATTGAATCTTATTATCACAAATTAAAATCATTTCAAATGTAATATTTTATCCGTTCGATATTGTTTGTTGTTATTTCTATTTTTATAGTCAAATTATAAAAATTTTGATCAATATTTTTAGATGTATTTTTTTATCTTATTAATATGCAAAAAAATTCAATTTATAATACTTTTCATATAGTTTTAGAATATCTATTTTTAAAAAAAAAAAAACATCAAATTATTGTGATCTGATTTAACTTTAAAAATTAGTCAAATTAACTTTCGAAAAGCGCAACATGACAAATAAAAGTGGACAAAGAAAGTATTATTCTTTAATCTTGCGGTTTTAAACATTTCACGTAAAAAAAATTAAAATTAAAATGTTACCAAAACATGAAAGGGTTTATTCTTTTAAAATAGATAAAAAAAAATAGGACATTTCTTTTTTGCAACAATAATTATTGCCGTAAAAAGAAAAATCTTTTGCCACTAATAGTTTCTTTGTTGTAGTGTCAACTAAAATGGGTTGAGATTTATGGCATAATATTTTTTAAAATGTGGTATATTTGAGTGATTAACTAATGAGCATTAGAGAATAGACGCAGAAAATCTAGAAATTAAAGAAATATTTTGGATTTAAAATTCAGTTAGTCTGAAAATATTGAAAAATCTTTTCACATTTTTTAAAATTGTGAGTATAATTAAAATGCATCAAATAAATTTAAACAAAATAAAGGATATATTAGATTAAAAGTTACTCAAAGAAAGAGAATTTTCCTCATGTCTTGCCAAATGCCAATTGAACATTATTAAGTGTTTTTATATAAATGGTCCTACTTCTGTTGTTGTTGTCTAACTTTGGATTTCCGAATCCGAACATTGTAAAGTTAAAATCTTGGATTCATCTGTAACTAAGAATTTAGTTTATCAAGGACATTCTCCAAGATAAAAAGATGTAGATTTGTAGGATTTAAAGGTTAGTAATGTAGTCAAGCTCGATAATTCGAATTACGTTTATATAAATAACCATCTATGTTGCTCGTACTCTCCAAAACTAATACTTTGGTTTCCTCTTCCTCAGTGGCGGACCTAGGATTTTCGTTGAGGAGGTTCGGAAATTAAAAGTATAAACATCTAACTTAAAAAAAAAAAAAACTGAAACCAAAAAATGTAAAAATAAAATGTGAATGCAGGGATTCGAACCTAAACATCACGCATAACTTTGAGTTATGCTACCACAGGGCTATATCACCCATTTGTATATTAGGGTGTTCAAACCGTATATATCAATACAAATTCAGAAAATTCTATCGAGGATGTTCGGGTGAACACCCTGGAGATAACGTGGGTCCGCCCCTGCTCTCCCTAATGTCACTCGTTTGCCACGAATCCTAGATAGAGTAACACAGTCGAAGAAGATATAGTATAGTTGATCATCAACAACAAGAATATATCCAATGTAATTTCACAAGTCGCATAACGTACAAATGAATAGGGTACATGTTATGATCTAGTTCCTCTAACTCCAACCAGCAACAGCAACTTTCTAACTCTATAATCTTCACTAATGCTTCTAAAATGGAAGAGTATATTGGAGATAGGGAACGAAATGAACGAATAGACGAGGGTAAAATCCTTTCTAGATGGGATCGATGAGGTTGTCCTTAATCATGATCTCCAACTCATCTAAAGTTGCGGTACCCACACGACTACCATCCTTGTAAAGCCTAAAACTAGGTAGTGTTGTAATGTTCTCTGCTGCAGCTCGGCTTTGTCAAGATCTGAAACCAACTCCACTTTGTCTTCACTGCGAGACTTCCTTAATTCATCTTGGGCATATGCTAAAAAGTCTGCAATATCACTATCATCTGGGTATTTCTGACACAGACTCTTATAATCAATCACAGCATACTCCCATCTTTCCAGCTAAAAATATTTATAAAAGTGAAATAATTAGGTCACTTAAACAACTGTAATATGACTTATAACATATAACAGTTACCTTTAAATTTGACATAGCTCTTCTTGAAAGAGCTTTAATATTTTTAGGCAGGATTGAGAGAGCCTGATTACTATCAGCCAGAGATTTTTCCCACTCTCCAAGTTTAGACCAGCAAGCTGCTCTAGCGCAGTACAGAAATGAATTCATTGAATCAGTCGGGGGCGCTTCATCATAAACACTACAAGCTTCTTTGTATCTTCCAGCACGGAATAAAGCGATACCAGAAGTAATTTCCAGTAAAGCAAACACTTCAGCATTTTCAGGATCATGCTGTGAAGCTTTTTCAATAGCACTACGCGCTGTATCAAACCTGCAGAAATTCAATATCGGTTCATTTACAATTACAATTTTGCTGAACTCTTTATTTTTATATTACAACCTATGCAGTTTTAACAAGTGGTAAACTCACTGGCCGAGAGCTACATTATACAGAGCGACTACATAGCATATGTAAGCCTCTGAGGAAAATCCAAATATTTTGGATTTGTTATATGTTGCGGCAGACGGATCATACTTCCAAGTTTTTAATAGGCAGGATTGAGCCGCATTTATTTGGCGTAGCTTCAAATGAGCTTCCGTTTGACATGCAAAGAGCTGTGAAATTTAAGTTAGCAATTCAGAACCATGAAATTTTCGGTCCCCTATTCGTCACAGAACGTGACCACTAAATATAGCTTTACCTGAGAAGACACCACAGCTCCAGAAGTAGTAGCTTCCATGGCTTCTTTTAACATCGCACACCAATCTTGACGTTTCCTTGCTTCAGTGCATCTTCTCATATGTTTGGTCACTTCTTTAAGTTTCAGTGAAGTGACCTCATCAGGTCTATGTCCCTGAAAAACTAAATGGCTTCGTGCAGTTTCAACTTCTCCTAAGCTGTAAGTTTTACAAAAATTAGAAAAGAATAAGCAAACAGTAAAATTCAGCACAATTGAACAAAAAAGTGCATTGAATTCCCTATTACAGATTAACAATACAAGCACTATTAAAAGATTCCAAAGCTTCATGATACTTGCCGTGGTCTAAACAGAGATACCCATTTTTTGCAGATTCACTTTCTAGAACAGTGGAACTCGAAGAACTCACACTTCGACCTGATCCCGATGCAGATGAACCCGAAGTGCCCCTTGTATTACTAGAACCCAGTTTCGGCATTCGAGGATCGCCTTCCTTATTTTTCATGTGATCAGCTAAAGAGCTTGAACCCTTTTCAGAATCACTCTTCTTTTTGGAACCCGACATTTTTTCTTGAACCTACAAATGTTAGAAAACTGAAAACTATCAATAACAACAAAATGGAAAAAATCGCTTTGAAGAAGAAGAAGAACAAGGACGGAGAAAAAAAAGGGTTCAAACAGAATTTCTCGAAAACCCCATAAATAATCTCCTCTTCTTCTTCTATACATATACAATTCAACAAGCTAAGATGATTTTTGAACAAATATATATACATATATCCCTTTAGAACTTCAATTTTGAACTGGGTTTTTCGATAATTGAAAAAAATTGACTAAAACAACTTACAATGTTAGAGAATTCAAAACTGCAAATCAATCATCAACAACGACAAAATGGAGGAAAAAAATGGCTCTGAAGACGAAAAAACTTGGGGCAAAAGAAAGATGAGGATCTCGTGATTTCAATGGTGGAAACAAAGAACGAATGTCAGCTTTTTTCGAGAGAGAGAAACAAGCGGTTTACAGAGAGCGGTTAACAGAGCTCTCTGTATACTGTTACAGAGAATTGTTGAAGAAGAAGGAGAAAGGAGGCACTATTTATATACTACAACATGTATTAAACTTCTTTTTTTTTTTATTATTATGATTTTAAATTTTTTTAAAAATATATTTTTTAAAACTAATTATTAATTAATTAAGTTTTCGTTTGTCTCACTGTCTGTGTAAGCTTATTCATATTTTTTTTATAAGAGTCGCGATAAGATGATAGTTAATTTCATATGACTCGATTCAAAATTTCAGTAAAGAATTAAAAGGATTGCAATAAGATCATAATAATCTGAGTGACAGTAATAAGATGACTGATGGTTTTCTTTCACATGGATGGTTTCGAGTTTGAGTAAAGAGAGCAGGGTCGCGATAAGACGACAATTGTCTTCAGATAACCGGTTACATAATCTGAGTGAAAAAAGTCTTTACATTATTGGTTCCAATTAAATCTGAGTAAAAAAGAAGCGTAGCGACAAACTGATAGTCAGGATAAAACTAACTGATCAAGATGAATACAATTATTATGGTTATTGTCGAGACGTGCTCGTTTATGACGTAGACGACTTTAAATTATACTGTGTCAAATAGTCAAATATAGTCAGTGAGAATTTATTTACTCTATTTATGATTTATATAGCCGATTTACAATTTTTACATTTGATTTGCTTAATTTCTTTATTACGAATAACTATGTACACTTGTATAGTGTGTGTCATCCTTGCACAGGGACCATGCTAATCTTCGTTGTATAGTTTCAATTTTATCGGATGTCCCCTTATCTAGACTTGCTCATATTATCAATGGAAATAGATATTTTTTTTTAAAAAAAAATTATTACAAAATGAATAAATATAACCTGAGCTATCGTAAATGGTATGCAAATATTCTCCGTCATACTTCTGGGACATTAGTGACCCTGACGTTCAAAAACTAGCACACATATACCTTTTATACTAACAGATATACACGTGTCATAATCTTCGATATTTATTAAATATTGAATCGACGGATAAGATTGTGACATGCACGTCTTCTATTTAGTCTTCTGCTAGGATGAATGACATATATGAGATAGTTTTTGAATGGCATGACACCAACACTAGAATTAAGTATGACCGAAGGTATGCACATACCATTTACGACATTTTAAGGATATATTTATCATTTTTTCCTTAAAAAGGAGAGAAGAAGAAGAGATATACGACGAACGATCGTAATAGTTAACTTAATCAATTTATAATTCATTTTCGTAATTTATGATTATTGTTGAGACATATTATAACAAATATTGAATTATTACAAACATAAATATTAGCAAGACGTGATAAACTAAGTAAACGTTACCATCTGAGAAGATTTTTAATAACAAAATATGATCATTTTATTATTTGTCTTTACGGGAAAAGATAAATAAAGAAAAAAAGAAAACAAAAGTAGCTACATATTTATGTTCATATAGAAAATAACAAAATTCTACAAATTGATATTCGAGTAAAATCATAAAAATACATATGATTTAAACATTAGCTCTCTAAGTATATCATATTTTTTTTTTTGGTTAATTTATCTATTGAGAACATGCATTTATTAAGTTAAAGTATCATATACTAATGGCATGTGTTAAAAATCTTTAATTATTTATTAGTGGCGTATATTAAATACTAATTGATTTATATCAAGTAGTTGTTGCGTGATCAAAAGATTGGAAAGTTCAAACTATCAAAAAAAATATCATATGAATTTAACATATATGGTGATAGAAGTATCCTAAATTACGAAATGAACCTCGATCGTTGCATCTAATAAGATATCACATACTGATATTAGTTTGGTTGTTTTATTTGGTCGATATCCATATTAGAGTTCGACTAATCACGATTCGTATCAAGTAGTAAATGCCCCCTACCAAAAAAATTCTTAGTTGTGACTCTTAGAAAAGTAGCCTCATTCGCTGCACCGTATATTTTTAGCAGTGTAATATGTTTCTTTTAAATCACCTCACGTTTATTAGAACTAATTCTGTTTTACCATAGCCATAAAATATTGAAAATAAATATAAAGAAAATAAAAAAATATTCACACTTAAAATTGGCACCAAAAACAGAAAAAAAGAAATACCATAATTAGTTTATTATTAGTTTTTCTAATGAGCATTTTGTTAAGTATTAATTTTTATAAGTGTTAATAAGCATAAATTGTATTAAAAAAAAATTGGTAACTTGAAATATTTTGAAGACAAAATTTTAAGTCTATTCAAATCACGATCAAACAAATATTTGCATATAAATTTTCAAAATGATTCAAATTTTATGATCAAACAGATATTTGAGGATAAATTTCAAAACCTCATCAAATTTCTATTTGATTTCTTGGTCAAATTGAAATTTGAATAATTAAATTTTAAATCCAATCAAATATCATGGTCAAACATATTTCTAAAGATAAATTTTCAAAATTAGATTTAAAATCTATAATTAATCGCTAACTTAGTTTAACTTATAAATACAAAGAAAGTTCAGTTAAACTAAGATAAATAAATTAAAATGAGTGAGCGATAGGTATATTTTGTAATTAAAATAAACATTTGAAAATGAATATATATATATATATATATATATATATATATATATATATATTTTAGTTTACCACATGTTGGGGCCCACGTGGTTATGTGACATCGACGTAGACTTTTAATATCTTTGTATCACAAATAGTAAGAATATTTTTTATTTTCCTTAAGAAGTAAACACTTATTTTCCTAATTATACGGTATAGTTATAATAATACACCTATGTAATTTCACAAAATGAATACAAAGAGAGTATTATTACGTAGACCTTATATTTATCAAAAAATCTAGAGGTTTCTAATAGAATATCGACTCAATAAATACAAATAAAAATAGATTAAAAAGGAAGTAACAAAATGAAGAAGACACTAAAAAATATTGATTACAAAATAATACACACGATAAATAAATAAATAATTAAAAGACAATTGAAGTACAAATTTGGGAAATAATAATACAAATTGAGGAACAAGAAGCTACATGAATAATACTATGGCTATTAGTATAGAGATAAACGAGACCATATTTCACTACCATTATTTGTACCCTCTGCTTTGAAGTACTTGTGCATCTCCTCTCTTTACATGTTCAAAGACAAATCAATCTAGCTTCTCACATATTTTCCTTTCACTAAAACAACTTTCATGTTCTCTAGGTTAACTTCGTAACTTCATTTTTAATTTTAACAACTCATCATACAAAATGTTTCTTTCGACATACATCCCTACTGAATCGGCTCCTCGTTTTTTACTATCCTCCGAACGCCATATGAATCGATTTTTCTTCTCGACCCATTCACCACGACAATCAATTCCTACAAATAATGACATTGTAGCTGAAGAAAATAATTAAAAAAACAATTACTAATTATGAAGAACAAGCATATGTAGCAACATATGATTATTCAGTTGCGAGATGTAAGTGATATGTTGCTACATATTACTGTTCTGTTGTGAAAAATAAGTCACATGTTGCTACATTTTTTAGTTATATCATATATAGCAACATATGACTATTCTGTTGCGAGATGTAAGTCATATGTTGCAACATATGAGTATTCTGTTGCAAGATGTAAGTCATATGTTGCTACATATGATTGTTCAGTTGTGAAAATAAATCACATGTTGCTACATTTTTTAGTTATATCATATGTAGCAACATATAACTATTCTGTTGCGAGATGTAAGTCATATGTTGCTACATATGACTGTTCTGTTGTGAAAATAAATCACATGTTGCTATATATGACTATAATATGTTATAATAGTCAATTGTTGCAACATATATAACAATATGTTGGAAACGCGAATGCAAATTATTGAAAAAATTGCAGGTTCCCAGATCAGATGATAATGAATTGATTTAAATAACTATTAATTATACTTATCAAAAAACAATGGTGTATAACTCTTATGCAGTAATTCCAATTGAACAAAACGAAATTTGGTCCACCAATTACAGATAAGTAAAAAGTTGATTCAAGAAGAAGAAAGCACAAGCACTACCAGCGAAGACCCGCAATGTACGAAAATAAAAAGGAAAAGAAGAGGAAGATGAAGAGAGCAGGAAGAAAGGAAAGCAACCAAGCAAAGAGAGAGCAGAAGAGGACGAATACGACGGTTGGAGGCGGGGAGAAAAGCTTTTATTTCCTCTTTTGGCTCGATATTTTCCCACCAAAATTGGTTAAATTAGATTTTGTGTAGTCAATTTACCATTTTACCCCTCATTTAATTCCAACCAAAAGTTGGTTAAATAAGTTATAGTGAAATTACCCTTTTACCCTTCATTTAATTCAGTGGACCAAACTGTCAACTTATAAACTTGAAGGCAACTCCACAATCCTTAATCATTAATCACATAATTGTCACCTACATCTAATACTTAAGACTTATGTCACCACCCATTTGTTTTGAAATTTTAATGTCACCACTTTTTAAAAGTCTCTTACGAGGTGCAGTAAAGATAAGATATGTGCAAAACTTATTTTCCTTATTTCATTTTTATAAAAAACTATTTCTCTTAATTTTAAATAAAAATACATTTTCTAAATATTTTAGGGCAACTTACACATATAGCAAACAAAAAATTCATATTTGTATAATATAGCAAACTTTGCATAATTACGCTCCATAGCAAACATAAAAACTGTATAATTCGCTATACATATACAATTGTATAATTCGCAGGCCTAAATTGTATAATTCGCCGGACTATTTCGCTGCAATTGTATAATTAGCTTTGCATACAGTTGAATCGAATTAAAATGTATGTATATTGCATAATTATAAGTGTATAGCAAGAAGATATATGTTTTTCTCGCTTTATACAAAAACAGAAACACAATATATACACTTCTGTTGTATAAAGCTAGAAAAAATTGTATTTCACTGCAATTGTATAATTCACAATTGTATAATTCTTTGGTCTTTTTCTCTGCAATATTTGAAGTAAAATGTTTGTAAATTATATAATTAAGTGTATAACATGAAGATGTATATTTTTGCATGTGTATATACAATTTTCTCTCGCTTTATACAAAACAGAAACAAAAATTATACACTTTTGTGTATAAAGCGAGAGAGGCGAGAATGAGAGAGTGGCGAGCGAGACTTCTGGGAGAGAGACGCCTGGCAAATTTTTGCCAATGTTTGCTATGGAGCACAATTAAATCAAACCCTAGTTATTCCATTTAATTTAGGTTATTAGTTTGCTATTATATACAATTTTCCCAATATTTTAACCAACGAAACATAAAATCGAACACACCCCTAGGCCCTAACCCATAAGGAACTTCATTCACTTTTATATTTTGGCCCAACCCAATACATGTATTGCTTGCAAAACCCCTAAAGCCCCTCGAATGACAGAACTTCATCTTCCCTGTATATGCTCATCAATGGTTCAGTGACCAAATTACCAGTAAACCCACCAATGATATACCTGAGAAAATTCAATTCTTGGCGTGTTTTAACAGTTCTTCAACTTACCCCGAACTCATTAGCATCAACATGCTTGAATTCATCAGCCCCATATCAATTTTCATCGTTTTTGGGGAGACCCTTTTCGTTTTCAGCTCAGTCTCAGAAAAAATCAGCAAGTTCAGATAGTGTAGCAAAGAAACCATTGGGTGTTTTCTTTCAAGAAGCTGTTGGTCTATTAGAAAAGTCTGAAGTATCAGAAAGTGAGAATGAAACTGAAAACAAAGAATTGAAGTGTAAATTGAGAAAATTGGAGGAAGAAGTTAGGGTTTTGCGGGAGAAGAGGAGAAATGAGATAGCTAATAAGAAGGAGGAAGCTGGAAATGGTGATGGGGTGTCAGAAAATGAGGGGAAGAGTAAGAAATTACATGAATTGTTTATGAATGAGGAGGTTAGGAGTGTAAAATCAAGGAAGTCGACGCCGTTAAGCATGGAGGATCATACTGTGTTCAAAGAGCTTTCACCTGATATGGTGATGTTTGTGACTCATTTATACAATGAAGGGTACTTTAAAGATTCAAACTTTTTGCCTAGGAAGAAGTTTGATATTACTTGCTTCGAGAATAGCTATGCCCGTGATTTTGTGAAGTGTGCAGCTGACCAGTTTGGTAGAGATCACCAAGAGATTGCAAAGTAAGAATCAATTTAGTTACATTTGCCCATTTCCATATTGATTGCTACTATTAGTTTTCTGTTTGTTATATCGAAGTTTGTTATTCTAATTTTGTTTTGTTAATCTAACTAAATCGTCAACAATGAATTCAGTATGCTAATTGTTGAACAAAAAGAAGGAAGTATTTGCTTATATCTTATGCAAAGGTAGAAGCTGACCGGTAGTTAACTGATAACGTCGAATAGTTGATGATGTTTCGGTGTTTGGCGAATAGATCATTATTTTGGATTACTCCAGTATAGAAAAATGTTTTATACACAAAATTATCTACGTAGCAGATATGATAGCCGTAGCAAAATTGAAGGCTTCGGGGATACTTTCTAGTGGAAGAGTCATCTCTTCTCTCTGCTCACATACTTCACTAATCTAATACAGCTACTTGTACATTAGAATCATGGCTTTGTTTACTAATTCTTTTTTGTATGTGGTCCCTTCTTGATTTATTTGTTGGAAATTTATGGTTATTGAACCCGTGGTTGGGGTTATTTATTCGTTCTTGGTTCCTTTGTTCATTGTATGCCATTAGATTGGATCCTTTTTTTGTTCTCATATCACCGGCATGGTTCCTATTTCCTTTCTTTTACGGCTAATGAAAATGCTGGGTTGATTTTCAATTATGGGGGGATTTGGGTCTAGAAACCTCAGTTTTGATTTATACTAGAAGACGGATACGCATGTGACCCTGCATTTAGAGATTAATATAGTGAGGAGTTCAAGGTGTTAAGAAGGGAAAGGACTAAAGAAATCAATGAAAAATTAGACAAGTACAAAGATTAGAAAAAGGTATGGATTGTAAAGATATCCAGAAGCTAGAGGAGTTATATGCATTTGCTACTGGTAAGAGTTCAAAGATAGAAAAGAGTGACTCAAAATGTCTTAGATACAAATGCAACGTTAAATGTCCTTGTTTTATATTTAAGGACGGGCAAAACCAAGCCTTTTAAGATCAAGACTTTGAACTCCAAAATCCAAATCACCATTGTAATCCAAATTACCAGAATCGTGGAGGTGATGCTCAAACTTTAGCACAATACTTTAGGAGAAAAGTCCAGAATAGTCCTAAGTATAAGAGGAATGACATAAGAAGGTCAAAGATATGAGGGGAGACTGGGAGGGAGAATTCATCTTAATGTTAGCAAGTTAAAGATGAAAAGAGTTAAGAGGATTGTTTTGGAGAAGTAGTAGGGAACTACCCGTAGATTTGAGGCATTTGCCCAAGAATTGAGAGAGAGTGTAATCCTGATTCTGATGTGGTGATAAGTATCCAAGGTACCTCTGGCAGAAGGTAAAAGAAGATCTCTTAGGATGTACGTGTGCTTCCAAGCCATGAACATGGCTTTGAAGATGGGGGTTGAGACCATTAGTTAGGGCTGGATGGCACATAAACCAGTATTTAAGTCTCCTTAGAGTTCCATCTATGCACCTCAGTCAAGTGGTACTCTTAACATTTTAAGCTTGAATTCTCCCCTCATATTAGTTACAACTCTAATCTATAGTGCTAGAAGAAACTTTGGTATTATCAATAATACTAGGAGCAAACATTCTCTTCACCATCATCTAATGCAAATTTTTTAGTACATTGAATACAATACACAACAAATATTTATGGATTCTAATACCTCCAAATTCCAATACATAGAACCACCATGTGGCCTCATAATTAACAAGTACATTATCTCACTAAACCTTAGCCTTTTCCTATATTCTCGACAAATCTTAATATATGACAATAGGTCTACATCATACCCATGCCACACGTGTATCCATCTTTTAATATAGATGAACTAAGGTTTCTGGACCCTATTACACCATAATTAGAAGTTAAGTATGCCTTCCATTCATTCTTTCGAAACTAGCAAATGCAAGCTATAAGAGAAAGGAAATAGGGACCACACCAGAGATATACAAACATCACAAAGTATAAGAATTATGAGTTCTGAGGTTCAGATCTCAGTATCCCGTGAAATCAGTCGAGGTATGCAAAAGCTAGTGTGGACACCATAGTTAATAACAAAACATAAATCGTAGCCGAGACAAAAACACTAGGTGATTTCTTCACATGTGTCTTAGCCTTAGTGAGCAGAGTTACTTGTTGCTTGTGGGAGGTGACAAGTATTCTGTGGAATTAGTTGAGGTGTGCGAAAATTGATCCGAACGGCAAAACTACTATTATTGAAAAAATATTGGGTCTAACAACATACAACAAATAATGGGACCATAAACGAATAAATGACCCCATCTACCAGTTCAATAACCATACAAATCAAGAAGGGGCCACTTGCAAAAAAAGAATTACTCACTCCGTCCCAAGTTATGTGACATCATTTGAGTTGACACAAAGTTTAAGAGAAAAGGACTTTGAAGTGTGTTTTCTAGACCTAAAGGTCAACCGTGGGTATTTATGAACCATTTCAATCAGTTGCAGGTATTTTTGGCTCTTTTCCTAACTTGAAAGGTATGGACTGATGTTGTATTTCATTTCGGATGGTTTATCTTGACGAATTCCCACAGTTTGCTTGTACGGGATGTTTGTCTTTGTTTAGTTTAGACATTGCTTGATACCCCTTAGCTTTCTTCATTCAGTTCTTTAATTTATTAAACTTGGTTGTTCAGATGGTTGTCTGGCAGTGACTTGAAAAAAGTCGCCCTTTTTGGTTGCCCTTCTATTGCAAAGAAGAACGTTTTATCTGCTAAGATGTTGCGTACATATTTCAGAATTCAAGAAGATAGTGTGAGTCACTTTTGCTCTTAAGAACTTCATCCCTTTCCTTCTCTGCTCCTAAGATCAAATAAGATTATGTAAAATTTCTTTTTTTTGGGATATTCTCGAATTTCTTCTCACCTTTCTCCTGTATTCCCCTTATGACCTGAAACTTTACGTGCTTTTACTTCAGGTATGTAGCAAATGTGCTTTAAAAGCATCATGCAAGTTTGTGAATCAGAATCTCCGGAAAAGCGTTATGACAAATTTACACTTGGCTGTTGTAATGAGGGTCATTACTCTGTATGCGCTGGAATCAGTTCCTCCTCAGTTAGTAATACCAGATGAAATAAAGGCTTCTGTCAGTCGGTTGCTGATGGACATTTTGCGACTTAGTAAAACTGTGTCTTAAACGCTTCTTCAGAATCCGATCAGTTGATCAGCAGCATACAGGTAAGACTGGTCTCATTGTCAGTGAGGTGCTTATAATCCGACAGGATCATGCTAGTTCTACGCCTGCTTGTCATGCTTAGTCACGACTAGTAGTGCCTATGGTATTCAGGTAATGAATCCATGAGCCAAGATGGGCGTTGGGATTGATTCTCTGGATAACAACGGAACCTTAGTTGGTCAAGGTGATCGAAGCCAACTGCTCGTTTCTCATAAGAAAACTGTAAATGCATCTCCTTCGAAACACATCTTTCTTGATCCAAGATCTGAGATCTTCAACAAGATTTCGTTCAATTTCGCAGGTGAAGTTTGCAGGAAATATATCAAGAAGTTCCTCCAATGGATGTACTAAGATTTTACTTATTTAGAACAGAAATTTGAACATACTTTCCTATTTGTTATCAATGTTTAATACTGAAAATATTACTTATTAATATTCATTTGATTGAATTCAATGTCCATACAATAATCTTATTGAATGGAAAAATGTAAAGCAAGTAAAATCGTTCTTTACTCTCTACAAGTATTTCGCTCCTGTGAAAAGTTAAAGTTAAACTCAACCCAAACACATCCTCTAAAAAGAAATATGAAATCGGCCTTTGAACTAATTATGGGAAAAGAAAAAAAGACAATTCATGGATCGATCTCATCATCTCTATCTGGTTGTAACTACGAGATCATTCCATGGACCGTTTTGGCGTTCAGGTTAGACCAACGATCAAAAATCAATCATTCACTCACTCTTAAAAATGATGTTAAGAAAGTGACTTATATATAACCCTTATTATTATACAAATAATTCACATATTCTTTTTTTGCCTCGAAGGAAGTGAAAAAAGTAATTTTAATTTTGATTTTTTAAAAATATTTTGTTAAGAAAATATAATCCCATATGGTATATTTAAACCTCTTCACACATTTTTTGACTATTTTTTTTGTTTCAATGACTAATTAAAATTTATTATTTTGATGGTCAAGTTTATTAATATGTTTCACTAATTTTCTTTTAAAATTTATTATAGATGACTCATTTTTTTTAATCTAAGACAAAAACTAAATTACAATAGCGAAGAAATAGTCTTAAATTATAATATAAACATAAAAAAAAAATAGTTTTAAATTTTTTTCCCTATACACTAAGGAATGGAAGGAAAAAAAAAAATAAAATAAGAAACTCAAATAATGATAATAAAAAAAAAGTCAAAAAATAACTTATGCATGAAAAAGATTCAAATACACTTTATATTCCCCTACATGAATTTTTTAAAAATTAAAAGTAAAAAAAATACTAAATTTAACACAATTTTTTTTTCACTTCCATTGAATAAAGAGTATATGTGAATGGTTTGTGTAACAGTAACGAGGGGCATATCGGCTCCAAATGAAAAAGTTGAGGGGTATATCAGACTCTTTTGCCTTTTAACTTTTTATGATCTTAAATTAAAGTTATTTATAATGTGACAAAAAATTTTCTAATATAGTAATTTTAATACGTTACATGCAATGATAAATTTAAAAATCATAACTATTTCTTTTTTAAATCATTTTTGAAAAAAAGATTTAAAAAAAGTAAAAGATAGATAGATACATTTTTCGTATGAAATTATTTGTCGTGATTTATAATAATCTGTTTTTTATTTGTAATTTTAGAAGTCTAAAACTTATTTTAGTAGTAATAGACTAATAGTAATTGCTCATAATTGTGGAGAGATTGGAATATAAATAGAGTAAATATTTAAGAAAAAAAATATGATTTTGGTGTTGACGATATATTTTATATCAGATTTTGTTATCTTTAAATATATGTTTGATTGTACATTTTAAAAGTTTATCTTTTAAAAAATAATTGACCATATATTTTAAAAAATTATCTCTAAATATATATATATATATTTGACCATATATTTTTTTAAAAATTATCCTTATTTGACTATATTTTGAAAAAAAATCTTCAAATTTATGTTTGACCAACTAATAATTACACACCAAAAATCTACACACAAAATTATTATAAAACAGTACAAATTTCTTTTTTACATCAATTTTTAGAGCTCTCGATTTGAGTTTTAAATTTTTCACCATGTCTACTAAAAAATGTACCAAAATTTACCTTTTTGTTGTTGTTTTTCATCTATTAATAGTACTTTCTTATGAAGAACAACAATTGAATAGTTGTAATATTTTTGAAGGAAGTTGGATTTATGATGAATCTTATCCAATTTATGATTCTTTAAAGTGTCCATTTATAAACCAAGGTCTAAATTGCATAAAAAATGGAAGAAAAGATAAATTTTATCTCAAATATAGATGGCAGCCTAATGATTGTAACCTCTCAAAGTAAGAAACTTTTTTCTTTATTCCACCTAAATTCTAATGATTTTTTTTTTTAGTATGACGATGATATAAAATGAGCTTATTCAGATAGCCGATCTTAACTTGTAACTTGTTTAGGCAGTGCGGAGCCACCATAGGTTTAGGGGTTCATCTGAACCCCTTCGATGAAAAATTATATGATTCAAATAATTCTTAGGTATATAGTATATGCCGAACCCCCTTCTGCTACATTATATATCTATTTCTTCAGATTTTGAACTCTCTTATTGAAATTTTCTGGCTCCGCCATTGTATTTAGGAGTGAGGTCTAGTTGTTGTTATTAGTATGTTTGAGATGCGTATACACTACCCTCTCGAAACTCTACTTGTTAGATTATACTGATATTATATGTTGTTGTTGTGGTTGTATCTTAATTTATGTGACATTGCTTGAGTCAAGCTTTTGAATATGAAATTAATAAGTTTTTTCTGTTTGAAATAAAATTTATATATTTGAAAACTACGATATTATAATGTTATTATGGTGTGATATGTAGGTTCAATGGTGAAAATCTACTAAAAAACTTTAGAGGCAAAAATTTCATGTTTGTGGGAGATTCTTTGAGCAGTAATCAGTGGCAATCACTAGCATGTATGCTTCATGCTGCAGTTCCAAATTCTAATTACACATTTGACAGTACAAAGGATCGTTCCGTCCTCTCGTTCCCGGTAGGTCAAATTTAATCGTTGTCCCTCTATCATCTTCGATTTGGTAGACTTGAATTCTATGTAAATGATTTCGTTATTATTTGTTATGTATGCATTGCATCTAACATTGATTTGTATGAGTTACTTGAGCTGAGGTTGCTTCGGGAACAACCTCTCTACCTGCACGAGGTAGGGGGTAGGGGTAAGGTCTGGGTATATCATACCCTCTCCCAACCCCCCACCTAGTGGGATTACACTTGATATATGTTGTTGTTCGGGCCAATCGAGGGGTGCCCCTTCTTCCCATCACTCTCCATTCTGTAGTACAAACCTTTAGTCATCGAAGCCTTTTTGAGTCTACAAACCCTGGCGTGCATACTTGACTAGTGCTTCAAAAGGCTGTGACTGACACTTCAAAAGGTGAAACTCTTGGCTGTAGTTTGGCGACCTATGTTCAAGGGGGGAGGGGAGGGGGCGTTAGTCTTTTGATTAGAGTAAAGGTCGTGATGTTGACAGGTTAAAGGTTCCTGTCACTTGCAAAAAGGTATTTGCTTTCTTTGGCCTCGCGAGGAATTAAAGCTTGTAAAAACAAGTAGTAATAATTTAATTGATTTAGTATGATTCGATATGATCCGACCCCAATTTCAACAATGCTAGCATGTTAAAAGATCGATAATAAGTAAATGATCTTAGATCCTGCAAAGGGGTAGATTGCTGGAATTCTTCCTTATAGATTCTTTCATTTTGCAAATTTTCATATGTTATTGTGGTGGTTAGTGCCAAGATGTTAGACTGTAATCGTTCTTCGAATACTTAGAGCAGCGATGAATTTTCTGTCCGACATAAAGAAGCATCAACTGCTAAAAAAAACTTGAAATAGATTCTGTTAGCATGACTTCTTATTATTGTCTATGTTTTGGTCGGATCCTCCAAAAATGTCGCCTGGTATGTAACAGATCCTCTGAAAGTATTGCATTTTCAGAGGACCATACATGAGTACACCAACATTTCTTTAGAAGATTCAAGCAACGTCGATTCTTGTGGGATTTGATGAACACTAAAATCTCTTCTTGTTCCGAAACTTCTGATATGTACTCTTCTCATGCTCTCTCTTTTGCTTCTGAAGGAGTTTAACTTCACTGTCACATTCTTGAAAGACGGATTTCTCGTTGACTTAGTGGTCGAGAAAGTAGGACGAGTTCTCAAGCTCGACACTCTCAGCCAGACTGAGCAGTGGAAAGGAGTTGATGTCTTGATCTTCAACAGCTACCATTGGTGGATACATACTGGACGCCAACAAACGTACACTTCTTCTTCACTAACTTACTAAAAACCGAGCTTCGTTACTTTACACTGTCCTGTTCTTTTTGTAATCTGTCCACAGATGGGACTATTTTCAAGTTGGTGACAAACTCTACAAGGAGATGGACCATATGGCAGCATACAAGATTGCTTTAACCACTTGGGCTAAATGGATCGATTCCAACGTTGATCCTGCTGTGACTGAAGTGTTCTTCCAAGGAATTTCTGCTGTTCATGCTCGGTAAGGTCTAAACACAGCTTCTCATTTCTCTCGTAAATATTTAGAGGTTGTTCGATTGATCATAGTAGGATAACTTAATCCAGGATTGAGTAAATACAGCGTTCTGTTACTAATGCGTTGGAGCAACAGTAAAGTTGTCTCAATCTGACCTATAAGTCACGTGTTCAAGTCGTGGCATTACTCTCTAATGCTTGTATCAGGGTAGGCTTCATACACTACACCCCCTTGGGGTTTGGCTCTTCTGTGAACGCAGAATACTAGTATGTTATACTGTGAACCAAACAACACCTTAGTCTCGATGATTTGTCTTGTAGAATTCTAGATCGTTATCTTCAACTTGGTTCTGTTTCCGCTATCTTTTCAGTGGCAAGGATTGGGATGAACCACAGGTGAAGGACTGCAGCGGACAAACGAAGCCAATAGAGGGATCAAGTTATCCAGGTGAAAGATATCCAGGAGAGGCAGTGGTGAAAAGTGTCCTAAGTAACATGACAATGCCTGTCAATTTACTTGATATTACTCTGCTAACACAGCTACGAAAAGACGGACACCCCTCGAGAGTTGCTAGTGGCGCGTTGAACGACTGCAGCCACTGGTGTGTAGCTGGTGTTCCAGATACTTGGAATGAACTATTGTACACAATGTTGCTGCAGAAATGATTTTTGAAGCTAGTGTGTATTGAATCTTGATCTATAATTTTCATATATAAATGAAAGTTGATGGCTAGGTGGCTTTTATCTTTGCTATTGTTATTGCTTTTTGTTTCTTTTGTTCTCGAGCGAGGATTTATCGGAAATGGCCTCCCTAACCTCACATGACAGGACTAAGGTTTGCCTACATTCTACTTTCTCCGAACCCCAGCTTGTGAGATTATACTGATTATGTTGTTGTTCAAGTGGTGGTTTGATGGCTAGGTGGCTTTTATCTTGATGTTGTTATTGCTTTTTGTTTCTTTCGTTCTTGAGTCGAGGGTGTATCGAAATACTGTTACAGAATGGATAAATTCGAAATTCAAAAGATCATCATTTTTTAATAAAAAATCAAGTTTAAGTTATATAAGTATATGATACTGAAATTCTAACAAGAAAGTAATCTTCTTCTCATACCTTCTCCGCAAATTCTAAATACCTTTTCCATTGATATATATATATATATATAAAAGTCATAAAAAATTATTTCTTGAAATTTGATTTCTAGAATCTTTTTGTATTCGGTACATAGGCAAAATTCTGATAATAATTTTATATAATCGAAAGAAATATTATGAAACTAAAGACGTGGGATACTGAAAAGATGAATATGATCGATCTTCGTCACTTATAGAACTTATTTTTTCTCTATTTTTATTTTAAAACAAATATTATAAACTTATTTTTTCTCTATTTTTATTTTAAAACAAATATTATAACCAATCCAACGTGAAAAAAATCGAAAAACAAAACTAACCCCTAATCCAAACCCGACCCATAAGGAACTCCATCTAGTTTAATTTGGGCCCAAATAGATGTATTGCTTGCAAAATCCCTAAAAGCCCTCTAATGGCGGAACTTCATCTTCCCTGTATTTGCTCAGTTCAGTTCAGCGACCAAATTATCAAAAAACTCACCAATGATATACCTGAAAAAGTTCAATTCTTGGCGTTTCCGAACAGTAGCATCAACATGTTTGAATTCTTCAACCCCATATCAATTTTCATCATTTTTGGGGAGACCCTTTTCATTTTCAGCTCAGATTGAGAAGGAATCAACTAGTTCAGATAGTGTAGCAAAGAAACCATTGGGTGTTTTCTTTCAAGAAGCTGTTGGTCTGTTAGAAAAGTCTGAAAACAAAGAATTGAAGGGTAAATTGAAAAAATTGGAGGAAGAAGTGAGGGTTTTGCTGGAGATGAGGAAAAATGAAAAGGAAGCTAGAAATGATGATGGGGAATTGGAAAATAAGGGGAAGAGAAAGAAATTACATGAATTGTTTATGAATGAGGAAGTTAAGAGTGTAAAGTTAATGAAATCGACTCCGTTGAGTATGGAGGATCATACTGTGTGCAAAGAGCTTTCACCTGATATGGCATTGTTTGTGGCTCATTTATACAATGAAGGGTACTTTAAATATTCAAACTTTCTGTCTGGGAAGAAGTTTGACATTACTTGCTTCGAGAATAGCTATGCCCGTAATTATATAACGTATGCAGCTAAGCAGTTTGGTAGAGATCACCAAGAGATTGTTAAGTAAGCATCACTTTAGTTACATTCACACATTTTCATATTGATTGCTACTATTGGTTTTCTGATTGTTATGTTTATTTCTCGAAGTTTATTAGTCTAATTTGTGTTTTGTTAGTCTACCGAAATCTTTAACAATATAAAATTTAGTATGCTAATTATTGCGTAAATACGGGAAGTATTTGTGTTTGCCTTGTGCAAACATAGTTTGTGAACTGAATAATGTTCATGATAGTGGAGGAAGAGAATTGGAAAAGCTAGTAGAGGATGGAGGCTAGAAATGATAATGGGGTGTTGGAAAATGAAGGGAAGAGTAAAAAGTTCGACGGTTTTTTTGTGGATGAGGAGGATAATGAGAGTGTAAATTTAAGAAAGTAAACGGCGTTGACCACTGAGGATCATACTGTATACAAACTACAAAGAGCTTCCACCTGATATAGTGATGTTTGTGACATTTATACAATAAAGGCTACTTTAAAGATTCAAACTTTTTGCCTAGGAAGAAGTTTGACATTACTTGCTTTGAGAATAGCTAAGCCCTTGATTTTGGCAAGCTGGGCAGTTTGGTAGAGATCACCAAGAGATTGCTTTTCTTAATCAGAACTTTGAAAATGATTTATGAAGAAGAATCCTTATACATCCATTGAAATTATGACCCTAAATCTTCCATTTGAAGCACAAAAGTTTAGCCTTAAATCACTTATCACGTCTAAGCCTAGAGGAAATAACAGATGCTTTGGGGATTCCTACTTGTGGGTCTGGGGAGGGATCAGAGGGTGGAGTGTACGGAACCGTTATCCCTACCTTGTGGAGGTGGAGAGGTTGTTTACGAAACACCCTCATCTCAAGTGCATCAAATAAAAAAAGTTCTATATATAGTAGTAAAAAGAATCACCTTAATAACAAGACTTTTGAAATTAATTCTTCAAAAAGAATCCTTCAACTTCCAGTCTCCTGTTTGAAGTACAAAAGTTTAGCCCTAATCGCCCATCACATCTAAGCTTCTAGGAAATGAAGGATGCTTTGGGCAGAAAAGATTGTATTGGGTGATCAATTTGTAAAATGAAAACAGGTTGGATTTTAAGAGTGGGATTTAATTTAATCCTATATTGAAAATGTGGCTAGCTTAGAATGATACATGACTATTTTAAAGACCCAAATTTGACCCAGGCTGGTCTGTTAGTTTCGAGGCTATGTTTGAGTCTAAAAGAAAACGTTAAGGGTATTTTTAGACCAAAAGGTTAACAAAAGTTATTTGTTAGCCATTTTCAATACTAGGGGTGTTTTTTTCCCCTTTTAAGTTTTGTTAAGACCCAAGTCCATAAGTTTCAGAGGTATGTTTGAGCCTCCTAAAAAAAGGTTATCGGTACTTTTAGACCTAAAGGTTAATGGAGGGTATTTGTGAACCATTTCAATAGGTTACAGGTATTTTTGGCCTTTTTGCGAACTTGAAAAGGTGACTGATGCTGTCTTTCCTTTGGAATGGTTCATCTTGACGAATTCCCACATGTCGCTTGTACTGTGTTCTGGATGTTTTTCTTCGTTTAGCTTAGACGCTGCTTTATGCCCCTTAGCTTTCTTCATTCAGTTCCTTAATCTACTAAACTTGGTTGTTCAGATGGTTGTCTGGCAGTGACTTGAAAACAATTGCCCTTTTTGGCTGCCCTTCTATTGCAAAGCAGAATGTTTTATCTGCTAAGAGGTTGCGTAAATATTTCAGAATTCAAGAAGATAATGTGAGTCACTTTTGCTCTTAAGAAACTTCATCACTTCCTTTCACTGCTCCTAAGATCAAATAAGATTACGTAAAATTTTCTTTGGGACATTCTCAAATTTTCTTCCACCTTCCTTCTATATACCCCTTATGATCTAAAATGTTACGTGCCTTTACTTCAGGTGTGCAGCAAATGTGCCTTAAAAGCATCATGCAAGTTTGTGAATCAGAATGTCAGGAAAGGCGACAGGACAAATTTACACTTGGCTGCTGTATTGAGGGTCATTATTCTGTATGCGCTGGAATCAGTTCCTCCTCAGCTAGTAATACCAGATGAAATAAAGGCTTCTGTCCGTCGGTTGCTGATGGACATTTTGAGACTTAGTCAAACTGTGTCTTAATGCTTCTTCAGAATCCGACAAGTTGATCAGCATACAGGTAAAATATCATGCTAGTTCTATGTCTTGTTCTACTCTATTTTGTCATGCTTAGTCACAACTAGTAGTGTCTATGGTAATGAGTCAATGTGCCAATATGGGCGTCGGGTTGAATCTCTTATAACAACGGAACCTTTGTTGGTAGAGGTAATCAAAGTCAATTGCTCGTTTCTTATAGGAAATCTGTGAATGCTTCTCCTTCGAAACACATCTTTCTTGATCCAAGACCCTAGATCTTTAACAAGATTTCATTTAACTTTGCAGATAACCTAAATGTACCAAAGTCAAATATTTGCGTTTGCATGAAATATATCAAGAAGTTTCTCCCATAAATGTACGAAGAATTGCTTCTTTAGAACAGAAATTTGGTGATATTGCCATATTCGTTATTGATGTTTAATACTGAATATACATCTGGTAATTCCGTAATTGTGGTATTCATTTGATTGAATTCAATGTAAACTAAACGTGATGTTCATTTAGAATGTAAATGACTAATAATCTCGTTGAATGGTAAAATGAAAGGCTACTGAAATCATTCTTTACTCGCTATAAGTATTTCCCTCTAGCCCGTGAAAGTGAAGTTAAACCCAATCTGACACATCTTCTAAAAAGAAATACGAATTTGGTCCTTTACACCACATGTAGCAAAAGGAAAGGAAAATCCATGGACTGATCCTGTCATCTCCACCATCACCTTGTAGGAACTATGAGATCATCCCATGGACCCTTTCGGTATTCAGGGTTAGATCAGTCACATTTCCTTTCAAGTTTCCATTTAGTATATGATTTTTCTTCTAGAATTCTAGACCATTTTCTTCAACTTAGTTCTGTTTCCTCAATCTTTTCAGTGGCAAGGATTGGAATGAACCAAAGGTGAAGGACTGTCCAAATAGAGGGATCAACTTATCCAGGTGAGGCATTGGTGAAAAGTGTCCTAAAGTAACATGACAAAGCCTGTCAATTTACTTGATATTACACTGCTTACACAACTACTAAGACAGATAGATACTCCTCGAGAATTGCTAGTGGCGCGTTGACAGACTGCAGCCACTGGTGTGTAGCTGGTGTACCAGATGTTTGGAATGAATTATTGTACACAATCTTGCTCCAGAAATAATTTCTGAAGCTAATGTATTGAATCTTGAATCTCAATTTTCATGTATAAAATGAAAGCTGATGGCTAGGTGGCTCTTATCTTGCTGCTGTTGTTGTTTTGTTTCTTCTGTTCTTGAGCCGAGGGTTTATCAAAAGAGCCGAGGGTAAGGTCTGCCTACAGTCTACTCTCTCCAAACTCGCACCTTGCGGGATTATATGTTGTTATTATAGTTTGATGGATAGGTGGCTTCCCTGCATAAGGAAGTGTCTTATAAGTATCAATAGGAACAAGTCCAAGCTGAAGCTTTTAAGTAAAAAAAAACAGACAAGTTTAAAGGTCATTTTTGGATTATTATATGATGATTTTCTAACTTTTCTATAATATATAAAAAAATAAATAGAAAGAGATAGGACTAGAAAT